ATTGGGCATAATTGAGAGACTTGCTCGCAAAAGCCACTGGTCGTGCCACGTCATCGCCCTCCGCCAGTTGTGACAACACAGCACCAAGGCCATTGGATGAGGCATCAACGGACAGCAGGAATGGCTTCCGAAGTCGGGATGAGCCAATGTAGCATTTCCCATTACGCCTGCTCCACTTAGAGAAGGCTTCGCTGCATTCCGGGCTCCAATCAGCCAACGTCAGCTTCTTAGCCACAGGTCTCTTCCTACCTTTGCTATATTTCGGCTTTGTCACGCCAGATGTCAAGGCAAATAGAGGCTTGCTGATACTTGAGTATCCTTCAAAGAATTGTTGGTAAAACCCAACCATTCCAAGGAAGGATCTTACCTTGGATGGTGAGGGAATGTCTGTCCCCTCAACCATCAAATCCTCCTCACACAGATCCACAATAGCCTTAACCTTCTCTGGATCCGTGGAGATGCCTTCTTTACTCACAATGTGTCCCAGAAACTTTACCGACGGCCGCATGAAATGGCACTTCTTTGGCGCTAGCTTTAGGTTATGCGCTTCTAGCTTCTCAAACACCATTTCTAGTCTCTGCAAAGCTAACTGTTCATTGGGAGCAAAGACAAGGATGTCATCCAGATAGCACAAGAGGCTTAAAAAGTTTTGGTCACCAAAAATGGCCATCATCATCCTCATGAAGGTGGCAGGGCTGTTGCACAGCCCCTGCGGAAGCCTGTTGTATTCATACAATCCAAAAGGAGATGTGAACGCAGTGAACTTCTTATCCTCCTCATGGACCTCCACATTGTAGTATCCAGAAGTCAAGTCCATGGTCGAGAAGAAAGCATTCCCCCCAAGGGCAGCCAAAGCATCGGCCTGGTGCGGCAGAGGATGTGCATCCTTCACAGTGCGTGCATTTAGCCATCTGAAATCTGTGCAGAGCCGCAGATCTCCGTTCTTCTTCCAAACAAGAACAAGAGGTGATGCATACTCACTCATAGACTTCCTTATGATCTCCCGCTCCTCCATCTCGTTCAAGGCCATCCTCAGCTTATCATAGTGTGAGGGCGACAGGCGACGATACGGTAGTCTGAAGGGTCTGCCATCACTCAGCCGAATCCGGTGAACAAAGTCTTTGGCTCTCCCACAGTCCAAACTATGACGTGAAAAGATGGATTCATACTTGGCCAGCAGATCAACAAGTTTTGTTTTCCAGAATGGGGACAAGTCACTCGAGTCAACATCAATGTCCTGCAGTCCCAAGTTGTCGAGCACAGAGCTCCCAGACCTGTGTGAAAAGTGTTCTGAACCAACCGTTAAGCTCTTTTCACTGCCGGTACTTGTCTGGGAAAAAGTCTTAGTCACATTGCTTTTCACGTAATCTGTCTTGCTTTCCACATACAGATAGTCAGTGTCAAACTCCTCAAGTGCCATACATGGGGAAACATCAGCAATCTTGCAGTTGCGTTTCAATGTCACTGGCTTATTGGAAGGGTTAATCACTCTCACAGGGACCCATCCATCCCCCCACATCGGCGTCACAATCCGTCCCACCATAACTGTTCTTGGCACCGTGCGTGAGTTACTCTGCTCCACTATGACTGTGCTGCCAGCTGAGAGGCGAGTATGGCTAGGAAGACGGCCCCAAACTAAATGTTCTTTCAAAGGATCTAGGGTCACAGCATGTTTAAGTTTGACAGTGCCCACCTTGTCAGGAACCTCACCACCTCTCCATTTCTCCACAGTAGCCAACATCTGCAACAGGGCCCCCTCTTCACTAGAAGCTTGATCCGGGAGCGAAACTTTGGTCCAGAAATCTCCAGAAACATTCAGCACACGAATGAGATGCTTTATCACGTTGCTGCCAAGAATCAAGTCGTCGCTTTGGCCATCCACAATGAGTGTGGGAACAGAGATGTGACAGTCAAACACTTTCATCTGAAGCTCACACACTCCGGTTGGGGACGTCCTCAGACCCCCACATCCAATCAGAACAACCGATGTGGGAGCAATAGAATCCGGAGAAACAAGGTTAGCCTTTTCCAGCAAAGGAAGCACACGAGAACTTAGAGAACAGGCCATCGAGCCACTGTCCACCATGGCACGCAGCTCCAGAGCGTCCTGAATCAACACACTGGTGTAGAAAAGGTTATCAGTCGCAGCCAGTCTCTGTGCGTTCTGAAATACCACCGTGGAATCAGAGTCCGTCGAGGCACAAAACTGAGAATAAACAGATTCAAAGTCAACATCATCAATCGGGGACGTGTCATCGGGCCCTCCACTAGTCCCCTCCTCGTGTAGGCCAGCTAGTTTCCCTGCCTCGGCGAAGTGTCCGGTTGGACAGCAGGTGAGTCAGGACCAGGGTTGACAGGGCAAGCCATCGCCTGGTGTCCAGCAGCATGGCAGCGAAAGCACAAGCGTTCATTCCGACAGTGGGACACAGTGTCATGGTCATCGCTACCACAAACTGCACACGGGCCCCTAAACCTGGAGCGCCCGCTGTTCCTCTGTCTCAGCGGCCCGGAACGCTGAGAAGAGTCCTGCTGCAACAAGCGCTCCAACAGAGTGATAACATGCTCAAGGGACTGACCACCACTTGGAAGCAGCCTAGCAGCTGGTTGTGGAGCAGGAGGGCTCACCGCAGCTTGAATGTGGCTGTGCAGAGCATCTGTTGCCTGGGCAGAATGCAAACCCCTAACAGGGTGTGTGGGCTGACGCTGCTGAAGACGCTTCTTACGGTGATGTTCATCCAGCCGGACTTGAACATCAGCAGCTGTCCATTCCTCAAGTGGCTTGCAGCCGAAGACTAGAGACAGATCAGGGTCAGGACAGTGAGTGATAAACATGACAGTCACCTCACGAGAGGGGTTATCAAGAGTTTTGTTTTGTCTTTGCAGTCCCTCCACGGCAATGTCAATGGCCTTGTTAAGCCGAATCCAGTAATCAACTGCCGTCTCAGCCGAGAATGGCTTGGTGTCATAGAAGTCAGCTAGGGGCATGAAGGAGGTCACACTATCGCTAAAATGCTGTTTGAGTATGTCAAAAACTGGTTCAGGGCCCAACTGCAAGTTTAACGAGGGCCTGCAACGTAGTCCAACTCTCACAACATCACTCGCCCTTCCTTGCAGCTTGTTCAATACTTCCCCTGCTTGCTCACATAACTCAACGCCCCTTCTAGCCAGATACACCCTAACAGAACCTTCCCACTCAGAAATTGAAAGTCGGTCTGTGCCGTCTCCCCTGAAAGGATGTGGCTCATAACTCTGGTGGCTCACTGTCAGGTTAACTTTGGACAGATCAGCCACGGAGGAACGAGCCACGCTTGCCTCATTAGCTGAAATCGACTTGAGACAGGAGACAATATTTTCCCCAATACTGGTCCCTATCTTCTTAACTAAGTCACTGAGCACATCCACTGAGACGTGCCCCCCATCTCGACCTGCAGGTGGCATAAAGTGCTCACCTGGACTGACATCAGCACCCCCATACATGTCATTATCTGCACCCTGAATCCCCATAGCATCGTGAGGAGTTGAAGTCAAAGGCTCACTCTCTCTGAGCCCCCCTACAGTTGGTAATGTCGAGTCAAACCACAAGCCTCGCCCCCTCCCAACACCAAATAATCCTGACTGATCCATCGCGTAACAAAGTGTTTTTCTTTTTTTTTTTTTTTTTTTGTTCTTTTACACTAGTACACTATTCAAAACACACAAAAACACCACTTTAAAATGTGAAAATCTGCTAACCATGTCCAAGAGAAAAAAAAATGAAAAGAAAACGAACCTAACAAACAGCACTTAAACCAAAGGAATCCCTCATTAATTGTTAAACCTGTTGTATCGTCACCTCCAGTCCATAACACAGAGAGAAAAAAAAAAAAAAATGAGCGGCGACTCACGGAACCAAAGCGGGACTGAAATACACTCGGCAGCGTGTCGAAGCTGCACTCCCGCGACGTAACGGCAGAAATCCCGCGGCGGTGAAGAACGGGTCACGGCACCATTGTAGCGGTTGTACTCTTGCTTGCGTTGTGTTGTTAAAATCACCACCAGGACACGGACCACATTCGGCTCGTATCGGCCGTTTATTGTGTGACGTTAAGACACCTGGCGAACACACACAAGTTAAGTTCTCAGAAGGAACCTCGTGGCATCATAACAGTTACACACCCTGCAGCAGACTAACTTTTTAGCTACAACATGACATACCTGGCGAACACACACAAGTTAAGTTCTCAGAAGGAACCTCGTGGCATCATAACAGTTACACACCCTGCAGCAGACTAACTTTTTAGCTACAGGGTGTCGCACCCACGTCCGCAGGGACCCACTAGAGGGCACCCACGTGACACCCTGTCATGACTCTTAGCGATGGCAAGTGGAGTCAAACACCCGTTACATTTGTGAAACATATTACTTCTCCTACTTCTGAACTTTATTGTGCAAAAGAATCATAATGCTGTTAATCATTAGTCAACACATTTTGCTGTAAATAATGAATAACTTAAAAATGAAAACAACAAATGTTTGAAAATTCTACAAATACATTTTGGATTTGTAGAATTTTGCATATTAGAGATCTGGAGGATTACAAAAAGAAAATACAAATAATATCTGCAAACCTGTCGTAAGATGAACAATTATTACTGATATATATTACACTGGTGGAGGTGAAGGTGCAGGAGCAGGGGGAGGTGCAGGTGGAGGTGCGGGTGGAGGTCTAGGTGAATTTCCTGATGAAGCGCAGTTTGAGGTACGCGATGCCGAGGAAGCAGAAGGTCATGATGCCCAGAGCCATGTGGTTCTGCCAGAAGCCCCAGGGGGTGAAATCCACGCCCTGTTCCTTCAGAAACTCCTCCCCTGTGCACCTGGTGACCAGGTGAGTGAACCCGTTACTCCACTCAGTTCAACAGGTAACAAGCCCCCAAAATAATGATCAGCCAACTCCATGAATAGTCACTCACTTGACTAATTGTTATTATATGAGCAACCTGCCAGGCTGATCAAAGTACTTACTTTAAACAGTTAATCCGTTATTTTAACTAACTAGCTAACTAGTCTACCAGCAAACCGTCTGCAAACTGAACGGAGTGAAGAAGCCAGAGGACGCGTGTGGACGTGGACACTCACTTGAGTCCAGGCGGAGCGGCGCTGCTGTTGGATCCTCCACAGAAGTCGAGTCCGGTGAACTCGTTGACCTGCAGAGCCTGAGGACGACCGGCAGCATTTAAAACAGTGTTCAAGTTCCACAGGAAGCTTCCTGTGTGTGTGTGTGTGTGTGTGTACGTACGCCGAGGCCGTATCGTGGAATACTCAGGTATTGCAACCAGGAGAGCCAGCTGACGATGGAGGGAAGATTCACCAGCAGACCTGCAAAGATCTGCAGGAGAAAGTTCACAGGTAAAATACCTTTCAATGTCCATTAGTTTTCCCGTGTGTGTGTGTGTGTGTGTGTGTGTGTGTCACCATCATGAAGACGCAGGCGATGGTCATGAAGATGTTGGCGATGGCGACCACCGTCTGGTCGGCTGAGATGGCGAGCGCCATGGCGGTGGCGGTGTAGGCCACCAGAGTCACGGTGAACATGAAGGTGAAGAAAGCGGCGGCTGTCGGCTTCAGACCTGCGGGAGGAAACGGCCGCAGCGTCAAAACAACAAACAAACAACAAACAAACGGAATTACCGACTAAAAAAAAGAAAAAACTAAAGGAGCAAACGTATAAAGTGAAAGTCCCACTGTGATTAAAATGAAACGAAAACATGAAAAAATACTGTGAAGATGAAAATGAAAAGAGGTCTTAAATGTACTAATCGTTTTTCAAGCGTGTTCCTGCGCACCGATCATGAAGTACGCCACGCAGCTGAAGGTCATGGCGGGGATGGTCCTCAGCGTGATGATGTCAGACAGGATCTTGGACAGGAAGTACACGGACACCCGGTAGTACCCGCTGATGTACTCGTGGCTGACGGGGCGAAGACACACGGAGCGTTAACGAGCGGCGGCGAGGAGAACCAATTAGCTTCAGAGGTGTGTGTGTGTGTGTGTGTGTGTGTGTGTTTGTTTGCGCGACATTGTGGGGACTCCACCCATTTGGGGTCAAAGTTGAGGTGTTTTTATGGACTCAAAACCAGGAGCACACAACTCATAAGCTAAGCTGTTTGCGGTCTGAATGCTAAGCTACGCTAACAACCGTCCTGACTCCAGCTCAGGGAGCTGAGATGCTTGTTGGTTTTCTGCTCCCACGCCGAGAAAAGCCGCTGAAGATGCCGGTGTTAAATGAGTCAAACCCACATGAAGAGCTTCCTCTCCGCGATGAAGAGCTCGGCGGACGACAGCGAGCTGAAGCACTGGTTCACCGTGATGAAGAAGAGCGCGCCGAACCTGAAGACACAACGCAACAAACTCTTTGATACACACACTTTGTTTCTTTGTCTGTGTGTGTTTTACTGCATCTACTACGGGTTTACTGCTACAACAATACAAGTACTAGAAGTACTACTAGTAGTACTATGTCTACTCCGTCACACGACGATCACAACTGTTTCCATAAAAACAGGAGAACTTTATTAAACATTACATAACAAACAGAGGCGGAATAGAATATAAGACCTGTTCTGAATTCCACTCTGATCGTCTTTGACGTCGAAGAAAATGGCTCCTACGACGAGAGCCAAGAACAACGTCACGCCGATCTGAACGGAAGGAAAACACACCGATGGTCCGCTAAACGAGTCCTCCAAGAGCGCCACATTTAGCTGATGGAAATGAGCCTCGTGCACATGAGCTGCGGTTCCCGCGGTGACCACCAGATGGCGCTACAACTACATTCCCGTTGCACACCAAAGTTATTCAGAAAATACTGTAGTCTGTTTATCTGAGAATCATTTTGCCGTGGGTGGGCGGGTGTCCCTACCTGAGCGATGGAGGTCTGAGGGTTGAGCATCAGGTTGCGGAAGGTCCTCTTGAGGACCCACCTGAACTGGGTGAGGAAGCCCGTGTTGTAGGTGATGGTTCTGGAGGGGGCGGTGGTGGTCGCCTGCTTCCCCTGGATGATCCTGTCTGAGGAGGCACAAGGACGCGGATACTAGTTGACTAACAGAGTATTGTTGCCGTGTAGTAAGTGTACTTCTACCCCGTAGATACACATGGCGACCCCGTGACCCCTGTGAGCGCACCCAGCTCGGCTTTGGTCTGCTGGAAGAAGATGGAGCCTTTGTATTCCCGGACGAGTTTCTCCTCGATCCCTCGTCTGGACTTGGTCAGAGTGTCTGAATCCAGATCTGAAGAGAATAAAACTATTTTCACTTATTCAAACAAAGAAAACACTAAATACTTTATCTGCACTGCGTCTGTGGGACCTTCTCTGTCGATGCTGTTGAGGGCGACGGCGGTCGAGTCTCCGTTGATGATGTCCAGGAAGAAGTCGGCGGGGTTGTTGTGGGGCTCACAGGTGTACCCTGGGAAATGAGACGGGGGTCACACACGGCAGATGACCTCGCCTCAGGGTGCGTTCAGATGGGTTCAGTTCACCTTCCTACCGATGTTTGAGAAATACTCCAGCGCGCTGTGAGCCGGGCCGTGGAACACCTGAGGGACGAAAGAGCTCCGGGTAATGTACAAAGGACAAGGAGACGGAAAGACAAAGAGACACAAGGAGTGTAAAAAAAACAGAAAAAGTAAAATAAACAATAAAGATGGAAAGAGCGAAAAAAAAAACAGAAAAAAAACTAATATTGTTCCAATATTTCTTTAGAATGGCGAAAGTATGACTCCTTTTATTTTTTTGTTTCTTAGTTAGAAACTTGTTAAATTGACTTTTAGTTTTCATTTTTGTAAAATTAATTTAAAAAAATTGTTATACAGAGAATACAAAAAAGAGTGAAACAGAATTGAATAAAAACAAATAATAAAGAAAATAACAAACAAAAATAACTATAATAATAAAATAAAATAATAAAAAATAGGACGTAACCACCAGACAGAATGAGAAAAATAGATAATTACCACAAAAAAAAGCGTTAAAAAAATAAAAGAAAGAGAGCAAAGAACAAACAAAAGAACCCAGTAAATCTGATATAAGTATCTGTATGCGAGTAGACGAGGGGACCTGTTTGCCGTTGACCAGCAGCGTGAGGCTGTCGAACAGCCGGTAGATGGAGTACCGAGGCTGGTGGATGGAGAGGATGATGGTGCGACCGCTGTTGGCCATCCTGAAGAAACAAAGACCGGAAAACATTAGTTCCTCACCCGACACGAGACTTTTTAAAACTCAAAGCAAAGGTTTAGAAAACAGAGCTGAACTGTCAGACGTGTGTGTGTGTGTCTGTGTGTGTGTGTGTGTGTGTGTGTCCGTGTGTGTGTATGTGTGTGTGTGTGTGTGTGTGTGTGGACCTCTTCAGCAGCAGCAGGACGGAGCTGGCGGTGCTGGCGTCGAGGCCCGTGGTGGGTTCGTCCAGGAAGAGGACGGGCGGGTCGATGATCAGCTCCATGCCGATGTTCGTCCTCTTCCTCTCGCCGCCGGAGATCCCCCGGATCAGCTGAGTGCCCACCTGCGACACACACACACACACAGACACGCACACACACGCACACA